GGGTTTAGGGCTTAGGATTCAAGCGATTTTGAGGTAGGGAGCTAGGGTGTAGGGCGCGTTCAGAGGTTATTCTCTTTGTTGGTTTGCCCTGTTGAGTTTTGTGCCTTTGCTGTTTGGCTCGTGTTTTTTGGGGTTTGTGCGTGTGCGGTGTTTCTAGATTTCGAGCTTTATGCTATCAATGGTTGTACAGCTTTGGCAGTAAAGCTTGGCGATCCTGGAGTACAAGCTGCTGCCGTTCGTGAAAGCGGGGGAGGTGCCATATGATTTCATGAGCCTAAGCTCTAAACCCAAAACCCTGAACCGGAGGTACCTGAACCCACTTTCACTTAACCCGAACCCCTAAACAACCTCAGAATACGCACTAAACCCCGGGGATGGAGGTACAAGATGAACTGTGCCTTCATCAAAGTGCTGGACCCTCACATGGCCTCCTCGAGCCTCATGGCCGCCCTTCTTGGCGGGTCTTGCGGGCTTCGAGTTCCCTTGAGGGTTCTAAGTGGATTCCCCCGAAGGTTCTACAAGAGGTGTTTTCAAGGCTCTAGACGGGTTCATGAAGGTTTTGGGTCACTGGGTTCAGAGCTCATTAGGTTTTGGGAGAGTTTGGGGTCATGAGGGTTCAGGCTTCACTAGTGTTTAGGGGTTGTTTAGGGTTCACTAGGGTTTAAGGTTTACCGGGGTTACGGGTTTATTCGGTGTTATTTGGGTATATTCGGGTTTATTCGGGTTTAGGGTATCGGTTGCGGGCTGGGTATATTTTCTTTCCACGCGCATATTAGGAAGTTGTGGCATTCGAGCGTTTGGAGTTTTTCAGGGAGCTCGCCGCCCCTTTGATTCATCGAGTACACATCGTATCAGAATCTTGAACTGCGCTCCAGGAAAAGGGCAGACTCCTTAGTCAGGGTGAGATAGGCTGCGACACTGGATGGAGATCCGAATCCTCAAACAGACCCCAAACCCGAAAACCTTAAGCCCGTAAAGACCTAAACCGGCAGGGTTCAGGGAAAAGAGACAGGGCCCTGTACCCTAGACCCCGTTCGGGGTTTCGCTTTATTCGTACCGTGGAAGCCTCGCGAACCGTACTCCAAGGCATGCAGCGATGTGCGACGGTGGTCACGCGGGTCTACTCAGGCCGGAACAAGGATGAGCTAACTTGCGCTAAAACCGGAGGTGCTACCCGGAGTTTCAGGGTCAAGGGGATAAGGGTTTAGAGCTTTTGCCTTGGACCCTAAACCTCAAACCTTTCTCACCCCAGAAACCAGAAACGCAAACGGAATGTTTAGGGTTTAGGGTGATGTCATGGGTGCTCGCTGGTGTGCGCACGCCCAGACCGTTCGCACCTGTGCGTAGCAGACAGCCCACCCCAAGACCACCCTGAGTTCAGGCATTTTAGGGTTTAGTTGAGAAAATCTTCTAGGCATCTCTGCGGGGGCCTTTGGCATCAGCGACGATGGTCGTTATCCTCAACGGGGTCCAGGCAGGGCCGAGATGAGAATCATGAATGAGAGCCTGCTCGTAAAGAACATGCCAAGCGTGGCCGATGTGGCTATAGGGCAACGAAAGGCAATGTGGGCGGCGGATAGAATCGAAGGGATCTGGCGAGAAGGTACGCCCCAAGCGAAGACAAGCAACAATGTGTTTGCTTCGGTGACTCTCTATTTCCTGCGGGCACCGGATAAGGCAATCTGCTTTCAGTGAGGTATAAAGTTCAGTCCACGTGGGCTTTCTGTAAGGCTGCCCTGGCGATTGCCGGAAGGTAAACTGCGGTATGGGCTTTCTGTGAGGCTATGCTGGCGGGAGTTGTGGCCAGTACGGACCTTGGATTGCCAGGCACTCCATGTAGGCATAAAGTCCAGTCCATGTGGGCTTTGTGTAAGGCGTACAATGCAATATGGGCTTTCTGTGAGGCTATGCTGGCGGGAATTGTGGCCAGTATGGACCTTGGATAGGCGGCCAACTGCTCCAACTCGTGAAGGGTTGGGGGGTCCAACCCTTGTCAAGAAGCAAGAGAGCAGGCTGCTAGAAGGGGCCGGCTCCAACTCGTGAAGGGTTGGGGGGTGCAGCCCTTGTCAAGAGGTCGTCTGGAAGCCGCCCAAATGGGGGGGAACCCGCAAAAACCATCGCTTCCGGAGGCCAAACCCAAGGTCGCTTCAATTTTCTTGGGGGGGTGCGGTGCAACCCTTGTCAAGAAGGGGGCCGGCTCCAACTCGTGAAGGGTTGGGGGGTGCAACCTTTGCCCAAAAAAAAAAAGGCTCCAACTTGTGAAAGGTTGTGGGGTGCTGGACAAACTCGTGAAGGGTTTGGGGTCCCCTTGTCATCAAAAGTCTGCTCCAACTCGTAAAGGGCTGGGGGTGGCAAACCCCAGCCGAGAGGATGTGCCAGCAAGTTGTCGGGTTTAGGGTTTCTCCTTTATAGCCACGGCCAGCATGCATTTAAATGGTTCGCGTACGTGTTTTCCGGCGCTCGCGAAGCTCCGGCCGCTTCGTGCTCCGCGGTGGCGGTTGTCATGCCCTCAGCGAAGACTTGAGGAGTTAAGGTTTTCAAACTTAGGCTTTCGTTTGAGGTTAAGGGGTAAGGTTTATAGGGTTTAGAGAGCGTTCCAAGGGTAAGATTTAGGACGTATAGGATTTGGTAACCAGGGTTTCAGTCCTCAAGCACTCCTAGGCTAGGGCCTAGGATTTAGGAGTTTGGATCCAAATTCTAGCGCCGGGGCCGGGGTTGGGGGTTTAGGGTTCGGATGTAGGAATTGCGGTCTGGAGTTTAGGGCCAGGGCTTGGGGTTTCGGGTTCGGAGCCAACTTCTCGATAAGGAACCCGGAAAAATGAGTTTTATTCGGCTACAGGTAGGGTTCAGGATTTGTCGCAGACGCAAGACCACGGAAAAACACCCATCCTTGTGCCTGCATCAAGGACCTAGTTACCGATGCCTATGATTATGAGGCATTGACGTCCATCTTCTCGTCAACGATCGTTTCGTTGGTCAACCATGTGGATTGGATTACCAATGAAGAGTTGATGGACTTTTCGGTCTGCACGGCATAGCTTGGCCCCTGCTTGGTCGCCCTATCCGTCTTGGCAAAACAAGCCTTGCTTCGCAGCGGGAAGACCTGTCGTTTTTGAGGTGCTCACAACGCGCCAAGCAGCACTCCTAGCGAGCTTTATCATGCGCACCTGCCGAGTGCTATCGCTGTAAGAAGTCTACTCTCCAAGCCACGACAAACAGCCCTAAACCCCAAGCCCTGAATCCTACTGGCGTTCCCTAAACCCCAAACCCCAAGCCCTGAATGCTACCAGGGAGTCTCCCACCTGTAACCCCCAAGCCCGGCAACCGAAAAGTTTATGGTTTAAGGTTTGGGGTACGAAAAACTTTTTTGGTCGTCGTTAATCATCAAACTCTTGCCGCAAGGGCCTACCCTTAGCCTAAACCTTAAACCCTAAACCCTACACCCTGCACCCTAAACCCAAGGCCCTAAGCCTATACTGCACCGAGCATCCTGGGCGCTATTGGTCCCCAGCCGCGAAACTCCAAAGCATTAAAGCTCGCGAATAGTTAATAGTGCGGACATAGCTATACTGCCATACACCCGAATAACTTACTTCTCATCATCAGGGCACCCTGGGCGCAAAACCCTCAGCCTTAAACTTTTTACGTTCGTTACCCTAAACTTTCAAGGCCTAATAGAGCCTTACTTAAACCCTATACCCTAAGGCAAACGTTAAACCCGGCCGCAGCCCACCAGGATGGGCTGTTTCAGCAGTCTTCTATGGTGCCACCGCCCTGGCACCAGACCAGCCAGGCTCCTCTGGATCTTAGGGCTTCGGGTTAGGGATTAGGGTTTAGTGTTTGGGGTTTAGGGTTTTAGGGTTTAGTGTTTGGGGTTTAGGGCTTTAGGGGCTTCGGGCTTAGGGTTTGGGGTTTAGGCTTTAGGCTTAGGCTTTAGGCTTTAGGCTT